AGTTTTTCATTAAAAAAATGTATTCTTTATGTAGAGAGCAATCTTTCTCTTTTCACACATTGATTTATATTACTGTTGCGTTGGGTTAATATTTTAGAATGCATTCAAATTAAATATAACATGCCATGGTCGCCCAAAACCATCAATGCTGAAAGTTAGTAATATTGTGTTTGACCTGAGTGAGAGCACGGTCAGGAACCTCTTTGGTTGATCTTTGAAATCTTCGTAGGCATTAAACGTAAACAGAAGGATTTTCTACTTCCGGGTGGATCATCAAAACTGTTGGTCCTGCAAGTTTGGTTTGGTGTTTGTCAAATAAGACCAGAGAGTTTTGTTCACAAAGTGGAGAGTGCGGTTCATTCCTAAAATTTGGCAAAATCTTCATACATACCTTCAACAGTAAGAATGTTGTATGTATTGGATTCCTTCAGTATGAAAATTGTATTATACAAAATAATAGATTCTGAGACTAATATTATTCTATAAATGTGTTGATCTTGTTTTAGTAAATCACAATATTCACAGTAAAATCTGAGCCGTGAGCTTCCTGTTCCGAGCTCATGCCTCCTCTGTCCCCGGGATGTTCCAGCTTCTTCCCTCAGGCAGAAGATATCGTTTACTGAGCTGCAGGACATCTGTGTATGCTAACAGTTTAAACAGAGCACATGATCTTGCCTTTTAATTTAAACTGTTTTTGCTTGATTTAATTTCACAGTGTCAATTATTTACCGCTTTGTTAGTTTAATTTCTGTATTATTATTATTATTTGTAACTTTTTTATGTATGTACTTGTCCGGTACACACTGAGGACTTATGCAAATGTATGTGGTTTTACTGCAAATGGCAAAAAATATAATAATAAAATAATAATCTGAAATCTAAAAAGAAAATGTACTGTATACGGCTCTTACAGAAATATATTTTAGGATTTCTGCTAAAAATGTTCCCGACCTCTGGGTTGGAGAGTTTTCTGTGACTTGCATCTCCACCTCCTCAGACTCCGCTCTCTTCCTCTGCTCGGCTGGAGTTTGTCTTGTTAATGGCCTTGTGTCTCCAGCTTTAAGAGGAAAAGAAAACGCTCTCTGGCAGCCTGTGCTAATCCCCTGACCCCCCCGGACCCCCCCTGTGCCCCCCTGCCCACAGCCTTTCATTAGCAGCCACTCAGACCCTGTGTTTATCTGCCCCAGCGGAGGAGGTCGAAGGGCAAGCTCCCAGGGAAGTGTGCGCTGAGGGAGGCCAGAGAGAGAGACCGGAGAGAGACCAGAGAGAGGGACCGGAGAGAGACCAGAGAGAGGGACCGGAGAGAGACCAGAGAGACCAGAAAGAGAGACCAGAGAGAGGCCAGAGAGACCGGAGAGAGACCAGAGAGACCAGAGAGAGAGACCGGAGAGACCAGAGAGACCAGAAAGAGAGACCAGAGAGAGGCCAGAGAGACTGGAGAGAGACCAGAGAGACCAGAGAGAGAGACCGGAGAGAGACCAGAGAGACCAGAGAGAGAGACCGGAGAGACCAGAGAGACCAGAGAGACCAGAGAGAGGGACCGGAGAGGGACCGGAGAGAGACCAGAGAGACACCAGAGAGACCAGAGAGACCAGAGAGACCAGAGAGACACCAGAGAGACCAGAGAGACCAGAGAGACCAGAGAGACCAGCGAGACACCAGAGAGACCAGAGAGAGGGACCGGAGAGAGACCAGAGAGACCAGAGAGAGAGACCAGAGAGAGGCCAGAGAGAGACCAGAGTGAGACCAGAGTGAGACCAGAGAGACACCAGAGACCAGAGAGAGAGGCCAGAGAGAGGCCAGAGAGAGAGGCTGGAGAGATCAGAGAGAGAGATCAGAGAGAGAGACCAGAGAGAGACCAGAAAGACCAGTTTTAGTTTAGTTTAGTTTATTTATTTAAAAGGGACCATGTACAATTATAACATAAATGTTGCCATTTGATGCATTGTACCAGAGTTAGCCTGAGGCTAATTTACATCTGCAGTCCCTGGCAGGGAACGGACGACCCATAACAGAAAAAAGACAAGATTCACAAGACAAGGGGTCGACCAGGAAAGACAAACCACATACAACATTACAGATTCATAAAACCCAGACAAGACACATCAACAACACAAATACAGACAAATAAGTCAGTACCAGAGGGAGTGTAAAAACCAAAGAGGGCTGGCATGGCTAGTGTGTACAATGCTGGCTACTTTTTAGATGCTTTTTGAGTTCAGTTTTAAAGCCCTTGATGGTCGTGCATGTCTTTATATTGTCAGGTAGTTGGTTCCACAGTTTAGCAGCCTTCACTGCAAACGCTGATTGACCAAAGGTGGAATGACGGAAAGGTACAATGCAATCATGTAGAGAAGCTGCTCGAGTAGATCTTAAAGAACTCCCAGAGCGCTGTCGCACAAAGGTTTGTAAACAGCCAGGAGCCAACCCCTTCAGGATCTTAAAGACCAAACATAGATATGAGAAAGTTCTAAAATTTTCAAAACTCAAGAAATTGTATTTCTTGTACCAGAGAGAGAGATCAGAGAGAGAGACCAGAGAGAGACCAGAGAGAGACCAGAGAGAGACCAGAGAGAGAGACCAGAGAGAGACCAGAGAGAGACCAGAGAGAGATCAGAGAGAGAGACCAGAGAGAGACCAGAGAGAGACCAGAGAGAGACCAGAGAGAGACCAGAGAGAGATCAGAGAGAGAGACCAGAGAGAGACCAGAGAGAGAGACCAGAGAGAGACCAGAGAGAGAGACCAGGGAGAGACCAGAGAGAGATCAGAGAGAGAGACCAAAGAGAGACCAGAAAGACCAGAGAGAGAGATCAGAGAGAGAGAGACCAGAGAGAGTTAAATTGTTTTATTAAATGTTTATTTCTATCCTTCAGCATTTCATTTTGTTCATTACTGAAGTTTCAACCAAGCGACAAACCAATGTTTTTTTATATCATTATGTATTTCATAAACACCAACTTTGTAAATCAACACTAAACTCTGTCCTCACAGTGTTGACGAGTCCCTGCAGGAGGTCAGGGAGTTTTACGGGAAGTTTTCTGAAATCCCGGTTATTCCCTGATGAGGATTACATTTAGTCCCAGCGCTGAACCCGATCTGCTCATTGTTTCCAATAATAGTGTGGGAGGGAGGCCTCTGTCTTTGTACCGGTCTTTGTGAGTTCAGCTCCTGTCGGTCGCAGCCAACGTGACCTGAAGAGGAATCAGACTGAAGGTCCAGGATTAGAATCAAACAAGTTTTATATTTATAATTGTAACTTAATGTATGTCGGTGCTACGACTAGAGAGAGACCAGAGAGAGAGACCAGAGAGAGAGACCAGAGAGAGAGACCAGAGAGACACCAGTGAGAGGCCAGAGAGAGGCCAGAGAGAGACCAGAGAGAGACCAGTGAGAGGCCAGAGAGAGACCAGAGAGTGACCAGAGAGAGACCAGTGAGAGGCCAGAGAGAGACCAGAGAGAGACCAGTGAGAGGCCAGAGAGAGACCAGAGAGAGACCAGAGAGAGACCAGTGAGAGGCCAGAGAGAGACCAGAGAGAGAACAGAGAGAGACCAGAGAGAGACCAGTGAGAGACCAGAGAGAGACCCGAGAGACACCAGTGAGAGGCCAGAGAGAGACCAGAGAGAGGCCAGAGAGAGACCAGAGAGAGACCAGAGAGAGACCAGAGAGAGACCAGTGAGAGGCCAGAGAGAGACCAGAGAGAGACCAGAGAGACCAGAGAGAGACCAGAGAGAGACCAGAGAGAGACCAGAGAGACCAGAGAGAGACCAGAGAGAGACCAGAGAGACCAGAGAGAGACCAGAGAGAGACCAGAGAGAGACCAGAGAGAGACCAGAGAGGACCAGTGAGAGGCCAGAGAGAGGCCAGAGAGAGACCAGAGAGAGACCAGAGAGACCAGAGAGACCAGAGAGAGACCAGAGAGAGATGAGACTGAAGGTCAGGGATTTGTATCAGTCAAGTGCTCATGACTAGCTTTATATTTATAATTGTAACTTACTGTAGGCTCCAGGATGAAACATTTATTATAGATTTACACAAACAAAGAAAGTTTGTGAAGAAAAAATGGGAAAATCTGTCAATGGAGTATAAAGTAAACCAAAACCAGCATTTAAAACCAGGACTAAAACCAGGAAGTAGGATCACATTAGTCCTGGTCTCAGGTCTCTGCACCTGTGGCTCAGAGAATAGAACATGTGAGATGCCTCTCCAACCTTTCCACAGAGACCTACTTCTCAGGACAAACAAGCTCCTCCTTTAAGCAGTTCAAAATAAATAGCGTCAATACCGTAGAATGTGTGGAAAGGAATTAGATTGTTTTTTGAGTCTATTTTTTTTTTCTTTTCTTGTTTTGTTTAACACTTTGAGTTGCTTTTAACTGTGCTAAACAAATCAACTGTCATATCCTTGCCTCACTAACTGTCGTAAATGTATGACAGGTGTGGACATAGCAATCATGAGATGTGAAATATTCAAGGATTATTTAAGATGTTGAAATCCTTCGGTAGCTCCCAAGCCACAGGTTGGAGACCCCTGTGTTAGTGCCAAATGAACCAACTCTTACTCTGAGGAGCACAGGGACTGGCCTCCTGCTGGGACTCTGAGGAGCACAGGGACTGGCCTCCTGCTGGGACTCTGAGGAGCACAGGGACTGGCCTCCTGCTGGGACTCTGAGGAGCACAGGGACTGGCCTCCTGCTGGGACTCTGAGGAGCACAGGGACTGGCCTCCTTGTGCCCTGTAATGAGTGTGGAAATAACTTCAGTAGCAGTGACTACATTTACGTTCATTTATTATTTCACAAAAATAAAATAAGGGAAAAAAGGGGTAGGGAAGACAGTGTAAAACTTGAGTCTCTGGAACACGCACACATGCAAGCGCTTGTGGGCTGGGTCTTTTGAGCATCTCCATCAGGTGCACTGCGCGTCACAGATTGTGTCGCGCCAATCCTCTGCCTGCAGCGCGCTGCGTTCAGGGACGGAACATGCCCAGGGTCAGGACTAAACATGGGGAGGCAGCGTTTCAGTGTGTCAGTCCCAGTGGGTCAGTCCCAGTGTGTCAGTCCCAGTGTGTCAGTCCCAGTGTGTCAGTCCCAGTGTGTCAGTCCCAGTGGGTCAGTCCCAGTGTGTCAGTCCCAGTGTGTCAGTCCCAGTGGGTCAGTCCCAGTGTGTCAGTCCCAGTGTGTCAGTCCCAGTCCCAGTGGGTCAGTCCCAGTGTGTCTGTCCCAGTGTGTCAGTCCCAGTGGGTCAGTCCCAGTGGGTCAGTCCCAGTGTGTCAGTCCCAGTGTGTCAGTCCCAGTGTGTCAGTCCCAGTGTCGTCCCCAGTGTGGTCAGTCAGTCCCAGTGGTGTCAGTCCAGTGTGTCAGTCCCAGTGTGTCAGTCCCAGTGTGGTCAGTCCCAGTGTGTCAGTCCAGTGTGTCGTCCCAGTGTGTCAGTCCCAGTGTGTCAGTCCCAGTGTGTCAGTCCCAGTGGGTCAGTCCCAGTGTGTCAGTCCCAGTGGGTCAGTCCCAGTGGGTCAGTCCCAGTGGGTCAGTCCCAGTGTGTCAGTCCCAGTGTGTCAGTCCCAGTGGGTCAGTCCCAGTGGGTCAGTCCCAGTGGGTCAGTCCCAGTGTGTCAGTCCCAGTGGGTCAGTCCCAGTGGGTCAGTCCCAGTGTGTCAGTCCCAGTGTGTCTGTCCCAGTGGGTCAGTCCCAGTGTGTCAGTCCCAGTGGGTCAGTCCCAGTGGGTCAGTCCCAGTGGGTCAGTCCCAGTGGGTCAGTCCCAGTGTGTCAGTCCCAGTGTGTCAGTCCCAGTGTGTCAGTCCCAGTGTGTCAGTCCCAGTGTGTCAGTCCCAGTGGGTCAGTCCCAGTGGGTCAGTCCCAGTGGGTCAGTCCCAGTGGGTCAGTCCCAGTGGGTCAGTCCCAGTGTGTCAGTCCCAGTGTGTCAGTCCCAGTGTGTCAGTCCCAGTGTGTCAGTCCCAGTGGGTCAGTCCCAGTGTGTCAGTCCCAGTGTGTCAGTCCCAGTGTGTCAGTCCCAGTGTGTCAGTCCCAGAGGAAGCAGGAGGGGAAGGCTCTGTCAGCACCGCGCTTGAGGAATGTGCAGCTGATAAATTTAGACGAAACACAACAACGCGATAAGAGCATTTTGAACATTCTGTTTCTGTCTTTATCTGAGGAAGTGGATTTAAACAGAGACAACACAGGGTTTAAGTCCAGTTTCTACAGTGATATTCTCTTTGTCCATCCAGACATGAGCCATATAAGGATCGACCAATCAGAGGCCTTTGTTCGCAGGGGAAAGTCCTGCTTGCCTTAGCAACCGCCTTAGCAACCGTCTTAGCAACACATCTGCATCTATTAAGGCGCGAAGCTAACAGCGCAGAAGAAAAGCCTGTGTCAGTGACTTGGCCCCAGCTTCTGTTCAAATCGACTTCTTCTGCATCGAGGCTCACACTGTGATGTCACACTGTGGGTGATGTCACACTGTGGGTGATGTCACACTGTGGGTGATGTCACACTCAGACAGTCCTTGTAAACAGCCTGTGGTGTTCTTAGAAAAGCAGAATCAGATAAAGGTGAATAAAAGTGTTTGGTGTCGATGGTTCTCTGGGAGATCGCTGGTACGTACTCTGGGAGATCGCTGGTACGTGCTCTGGGAGATCGCTGGTACGTGCTCTGGGAGATCGCTGGTACGTGCTCTGGGAGATCGCTGGTACGTGCTCTGGGAGATTGCTGGTACGTGCTCTGGGAGATTGCTGGTACATGCTCTGGGAGATTGCTGGTACGTGCTCTGGGAGATTGCTGGTACGTGCTCTGGGAGATTGCTGGTACGTGCTCTGGGAGATTGCTGGTACGTGCCGCAGAGCAGCTCTGTGGGAGATAACATCTGTGCTTCGTCCTCGGATAACGATCAACAAAACATTTCTTCCACAAACGACTTCAGTAAAAATAGACTTTCTAAGTTTTGACTCTGAATGAATCTGCTTTTTAACAGAGCAGCGTGACGCGGATCAAAGCCTCTGTGGAGCAGCGTTCACAGCTGGAGATCTGGAGATTCAGTTATGGCAGAAGTCGACGTGCCAATATGCATGGGCAGCCGGGTTAAAGCTGGGGTACTCAACTTTTAGTTACATAAATAATACATGTTTCATGCAGAACACATAATACATGTAAAAACAGAAGTTTCTTCTAATAAGACAAAAGTGTAAAGGAGAATAGTAACCATACCCTTCTTACAAGGGGTCAGAGGTCACACACATAAACATATATTTTAATGTAGGTGTTGCATACGTGGCATGTTTAAAATCATCAGTTTTTCTAAATGTCATGTCCATATATGGACATACACGTGTGTGCTGCATTTAGCCGACAGACTGTACATGTGCATCTTAGATTCTGCATCGCAGATTCTCATAAATGTTCTTTTTAATAATCAAACCACACAAACAGTTCCACACACAGACACTCTTACACACACACACACACACACACACACTCAGGTCCACAGGGTTGAGAGGGTCGGCGCTGGAGCATGACGTTCACACACTGTTTGCACAACATTGAGAGGTGAACACACAGAACACAGAGTTCCGTGGGCAGAGGACTGGACCAAATCTGTGAGATACATTCTAGTTTTGTCCCGTGGTCTTCTGTCCGTGGGGGGTCCGGCTCAAAGCAAAGTCAACACACACAGGGTCAGTGTTCTGGACTCCTCAGGGACCGAGGCGGCTCCTCATTACAGAGTTATCAGAGCATGTCCAGGTCTTTGTGTTGGGAGCCGTTGGACCCAGACTCTCTGCAGGTCTGACCCCCAGGAGAGACCTCGAGGCTGGGCTCCGGATGTGGGCTGGGGTCCCGTCCTCACACACCCTCCACCTTCACGCAGCATTAAGCAGCAGCATCAACACAATCAAGATGTTTAGAAACACAGCGCAGCGGGAGACCGGGCGCCACGACGGGGACGTTACACGATCAGCGACGAAAGGAGGACTTAAAAACCGACGGGAAATAACCGAAGGATGAACTTGTCTCTGCTTTTCACCGTGTTATAGATGTTTTTCCCTTTACACACACAAATAGCTAGATCTACAGCCTCAGTCCTGGATCTACACCCTCAGTCCTGGGTCTACAGCCTCAGTCCTGGGTCTACAGCCTCAGTCCTGGATCTACAGCCTCAGTCCTGGATCTACAGCCTCAGTCCTGGATCTACAGCCTCAGTCCTGGATCTACAGCCTCAGTCCTGGATCTACAGCCTCAGTCCTGGATCTACAGCCTCAGTCCTGGGTCTACAGCCTGGATCTACAGCCTCAGTCCTGGATCTAAAGCCTCAGTGGAGGGATCTGGATCTACAGCCTCAGTCCTGGATCTACAGCCTCAGTCCCTAAAAGTGTGTGTTTGTGTTGCTGGTGGTGTTTGGGGTTTTGGAAGAAGGGGTGGGTGATGGGGGGGGGAATTTTTTATATGTATTGTTTAATTTTTGTTTAGAGTGGGGGAGTTGTTTTGGGTAGTTGTGGTGGGGGGTTTGAGTGGGGGTATGGGGGGGGGGGAGGGGGGTTGTAATAGGGGTATGGGTGGTGATGATAGGTTGGGGGGGTGTTATGGGATGGAGTTATTGGGGTGATATTTGAGGTTTGTTGAGGGTGGATGATGGGGGTTTGGGGGTGGTGGGGTGTGGTTTGGGGTTTGTTGGGATTGGAGGGGGGGGGGGGGTGGGGGGATTGGTGGGGTGGGTTGAGTATAGGTGGGGAGTTGAGTGGGTGATGTTTGTGTGGTTGGAAGAGTTGTTGAGGTGGGGTGGTTATTGTGGGGGTGGTGAGGGGGTGATTGTGGTAAGAGTGAGGGTGGGTAGTGGTTTTGAGTGAAGAGGTTGTAGAATAGTTTGTATGAATATTTTATTATGTTGGGTTTATGGTATGGGGTGGGGGGGTTGAGAGGGTTTGAGGATGGTTTTTGGAAGTTTTTAATGGGTATATGGATTATGGAATAATTGGTATGGTGGGGGGATTATTGTGGGAGGGTATTGTATTGTTTTGATTAGGTATTGGGTTATATGGAGAATATAGTGTTAGTGGGAATTGGTGGGTGTATTGGGATGGTATTTTTGTATAAAATATAGAAGGAGGAGGTTATTTAGGTAGATTAAGATATGTGAGAAGGTTGTTAGAAATATGAAAGATTTTGGGAGGATGTTGATGTAGGTGTGGATATGAGGGTGGAGGGTTGTATGGATAGTGTGGAGGTTGTTAGGGTTGTTGGGGTTTAAGGGTTTTGAGATAAAGGATAAGGATTAAGTATGAGAAGTGGTATTGGTTTGGTGGAAGGGTTTTATGGATTGGGAGGGTGATATGGGATTAAGGGTGTGATGAAAAGGAAGGAAGAGGGGAAGTATGTAAAGAAGTAGATAGGAAGAAGTGGATAGGGGGTTGATAAAGGTATGTGGTTGTTATTGGATGGGGGGTGGATATTGGATTTGGAGGGATGTTTTGGGGGAGGTAGAGGGGGGGGGGGGGATTGGGGGGGGGGGGAAATATATTGGGGAATTTGTTTGGGGGGGGGTTGTTGGTGTTGATGGGGGTTGTATTGGTGTTGGGAGATGGGGATAGGTGGTTTGTGTTTATTGTTGTAGGTTTTTGGGGTTGGTGTGGTGGGGTTGGGTGGTTGAGTTGGTGATGTTTTTGGTTTGTATGTATTGTTTTGGGTGTTGGTTGGGTATGTTGGTTGGTGGGGGGGGGGGTGGTGGGGTGTTGGGGGGTTGGGGGGTGGGTGGGGTGGGGGGGTTTTGTGGTGGGGTGGGGGGGTGGGGGTTGTGTGTTTGTGGGGGGAGGTGTGGGTGTGGGGGGGGGGTGGTTTGGTGGTGTGGTGTTTGTGTGTGGGGGTTGTTGTGGTTGTGTGGGGGTTTGGGGGGGGGGTGGGGTTGGTGTTTTGGGGGGGGTGGGTTGGTTTTTTGGTGGGGTTGGGGTTGGGTTTTGGGTGTTTGTGGTTGGGTTTGTGTTGGGGTGGGTGGGGGTGTGTTTTTGGGGGTGGGTTGGTGGGTTGTGGTTGTGGTTGTGGTGGTGTGGGGGGGGGGTGGTGGGGGTGTGGGGTTTTGGTTGTGGGTGGGTGTGGTGGGGGGGTTGGGGGGGGTGTGGGGGGTTGTGTTGTGGGGGGTGTTTGTGGTGTGGGGTGGGTTGGGGGGTGGGGGGTGGTTGGTTGGGGGGTTGGGTGGGTGTGTGTTGGTGGGGGTTGGGTGGGGTGTTTGTTGGGGTGTGGGGGGGGTGGTGGTTGGTTGGGGTTGTGTGTTGTGGGTGTGGGGTGTGGGGGGGGGGTGGGGGGGGGGGTTGGGTGGGGTGGTGGTGTGGGTGGGGTTTGGGGGGTGGTTTTGTGGGTGGGGGGGGTGGGGTTGTGTGGTTTTGTTGGTGGGGTGGTGGGGGGGGGGGGGGGTGGTGTTTGTGTGGTGGTGGGGGTGGGGGTTGTGGTTGGGGGGGGGGGTGGGGGGTGGGGGGTGGTGGGGGGGGGTGGGGGGGGGGTGGGGGGGGGTTTGGGGTGGTGGGTGTGGGGTGGGGGGGGTGGGGGGGGGGGGGGTGGGGGTTGTGGGGGGGGGGGGGTTTGGGTGGGGGGGTGGTGGGGGGGGGGGTTGGTGGTGGGGTGTGGGGTTTGGTTGGGTGTGGTTTGTGTGGGGGGGTGGGGTGTGGGTGTGGGGGTTGGTGGGGGGTGGGGGGGGGGGGGTGGGTGGGGTGTGGGGGGGGGTGGGGTGGGGGGGTGGGGGGGGTGGGTGGTGGGGTTTGGGGTGGGGTGGGTGGTGTTTGTTGTGTGTTGGGTGGTGTTGGGGGTGTGGGTGGTTTGGGTGGGTTGTTGTGGTGGTTGGTGTTGGTTGTTGTGTTGGGTGTTGTGGGGTTGGTGTGGTGGGGGGTTTGGGGGGGGTGTTTGGGTGGGGTTGTTGGGGTGTGGGGGGGGTGGGGGGTGGGGTTGTGTTTGGTGTGTGTGTGTTGTTGGTTTTGGTTGGGTTGGTGGGGGTGTGGGGGTTGTGTTGGGGGGGGGGGGTTTTGGTGGGTTGGTGTTGTGTGGGGGGGGGGGGTGGTGGTTGTTGTGGGGGGGGGTGGGGGGTGGGGTGGTTTTGGGGGTGTTGTGTGGGGGGTTTGGGGTGGGTGGGGGGGGGGTGGGGGTGGGGGGTGGGTGTGTTGGGGTGTGGGGTTTTGGTGTGGGTGTTTGTGGTGGGTTGGGGGTGGTGGGGGGGGGGGGTTGGGGTGGGGTGGTTTGTGTGTGGGGGTGGGGTTGGGGGGTGGGGTGTGGGTGTTGGGGGGGTGGGGGTGGGTTTTTTGGTGGTGGGGGGGTGTGGTGGGGTGGGGTGTGGTGTTGGGGGTGTTGTGGGGGTGTGGTGGGTGGTTTGTTTGGGGGGGGGGGGGGGTGGGTGGAGGGGGGGGGGGGGTGTTTGGGTTGTTGGTTGTGTGGGGGTGTGTGGGGGTGGGGGTGGGGTGTGTGTGTGTGTGTTGTTGTTGGGGTTGGTGTGTTTGTTGTGGTGGTTTTTGTTGTGTGGTTGTTGGTGGTGTTGGGTTTGGGGGGGGTGGGGTGGGTTGTGGGTGGTTGTGTGGGTGGTTTGTGGGTTTGTGGTGTGGGGGGGGGGGGTGGGGGGGGGTGGTGGGGGGGTGGGTGGTTTTTTGGGGGGGGGTGGGGTGGGTTGGTTGGGTGGGGTGGGGGTGGGTAGGTGGGGTTAGTGGGGGGTGGGGTGGTTGGTGGGGGTGGTGGTTGTTTTTGTTGGTGGTGGGGGTGGTTGGTTGTGGGTGTGGGGGGTGTGGGGGGTGGGATTGTTGGGGGGTGGTGGTGTGGGTGGGTGTGGGGTTGGTGTGTTGGGTTGTGGGGGGGGTGTGGTTGGGTGGTTGGGGGTTTTGTGGGGGTGGGGTGGGGGGGTGTGTGGTTGGGTTTGGTGGTGGTGGGGTGGGTGGTTTGGGGGGGGGGTTGGGGGTGGTTTGTTTGTTTGGGGGTTGGGGTGGGGGGGGTGGTTTTGGGGGGGGGGTGTGGAAGGTGTGTGTGGAGAGAGTGGGTGGGAAGTGTGGGGTGGTGTGGGGTTGTTGGGTGGTTGGTGTTGGGGGGTGGGGGTGGGGGGGTGTGGGTGTGGTGTTGGTGGGTGGGGTGGGGGGGGGGTGGTGGGTTGGGGGTGGTTTGTGTTGGTTTTGGGGTGGGGGTGGGTTGGGGGTTTGGGGGTGTGTGGGTGGGGGGTGGTTGGGGTGGGTTGGGTTTTTGGTGGGTGGGTGGGGGGTGGGGTGTGTGTTGTGTTGGGGTGGTTTGGTGGGGTTTGGGGGGGGGGGGGGGGGTGTTGGGGGGTGGGTTGTTGTGTGGGGTGTGGGGGTTGTTTGTGGGGGTTTGTGGGGGTGTTGTGGTGGTGTTTTGTGGGTTGGGGGTGGGGGGGGGGGGGGGGGTGTTGGGTGGGTGGGGGGTTGGTGTGGTTGGTGGGGGGGGTTGGGGGGGGGTGGGTTGGGGGGGGGTGGGGGGGTTGGGGTTGGTGTTTGTGTGGGGGGGGGGGGTGTTGGGTTGTGGTGTGTTGTGTTGGGTTGGTTTTTTGGTGGTTTGTTGTGTGTGTTGGTGTGGGGGTTGTTGTGGGGTGTGTGTTGTGGTTTGGGGTGGGGTTGGGGGGGGGGGGGGGGGGTTGTGGGGGGGGTGGGGTGGTGGTGGTGGTGGGTGTGGTGGGTTTGTTGGGGTTGGTGTGTGGGGTGGGTTGGGGTTGGTGGGTGGGGGTTGGGGGGTGGTTTGGTGGGGTGTGGGTTGGGGTTTGGGGGGTTGTGTTGGGTGGGGGGGGGGGGGTGGGGGGGGTTTGGGGGGTGGGGTGTTGGTGGTGTGGGGGGGGGGGGGGTGGGGTGGTGGGGGTGTGGGTGGGTGGGTGGGGGTGGTGGGTGGTGTGGGGGTGGTGGGGGGTGGGGGTTGGGGGTGTGGGTGGGGTTGGTGGTGTTGGGGTTGTGGTGGTGTTGGGGTTTGGGTGGGGTTGGGTGTGTGGGTGGTGGGGTGGGGGTGTGGTGGGGGTTTTGTGGTTGTTGGGTTTTGGGGGTGGGTGGGGTGGGGGTTGGTGGGGTGTTGGTGGGTGTGGTGGGGGGTGGGGTTGTTGTTTTTGGTTGTGGGTGGGTGGTAGGGTGGTTTGATGGTTGTGTTGGGGGGGGGGGTTTGGTTGTGTTGTGTGTGGTGGGTGGGTGGGGGGTGTGGGGTGTGGGGGGGGGGGTGGGTGGGGTGGGGGTGGGGGTGGTGGTTTTGGTGGGGGGTTGGGTTGGGTTTGGGTGGGGTGGGTGGTGTTGTGTGTTGGTGTTTGGTTGGGTTGGGGTTGGTGGGGTGGGGGTGGGGGTTGGTTGGGGTGGTGGGTTTGGGGTTTGTTGGGGTGGTGGTGTGGGGGGTGGGGGGTTGTGGGGGGTGTGTGGTGGGGTGTGGTGGGTGGGGGTTGTGGGTTTGTGGTGGGGTGGGTGTGTTGTTTGGGGGGGGGTTGTGTTGTGGGGTGGGTGTTGGTTGTGGGGTTGTTTGTTGGGGTGTTGTTATGTGGTGGGGTTTGGGGGGGTGGGGTTGGTGTTGTGGTGGTTGGTTGGGGGGGGTGGTGTTGGTGGGTGGGTGGGGGGGGTGTGGTGTGTGGGGTGGGGTTGGGGGGGTTTGGGTGGGGTGGGTGGTTGGTTGGGGGTGGTGTTGTGTGGTGGGTGGTGGGGGTGGGGGGGGTGTTGTGGGGGGGGGGGGGGGGGGTGTTTGTTGTTTGTGTTGGGTGTGGGGTGTTGGGGGGGTGTGGGGGGGGGTGGGGGGGGGGGTGTTTTGTGGGGGGGTTGGGGGTGTGTTGGTGGTTTTTGTGGGGGTGGGGTGGGGGGGGGGTTTGGTTTTTGGGTTGTGGTGTGTGGGGGGGGGGGGTGGGGTGGTGGTTGTGGTGGGGGGGTTGTTGGTGGGGTGGGTGGTGTGTGGTGTTGTGGGTTGGGGGTGTGGTGGGTGGGGTGTGTGTGGGTGGTTTGTTTGGGGGTGGGGTGTGTGGGGGGTTTGTTGGTGGGGGTGTGTGTTTTTGGGTGGTGTGGGGTGGGGGGGGTGTGGGGGGGGTGGGGGTTGGGTGGGGGGGTGGGGGGTGGGTGTGGTGTGGTTGGGTGTGTGTGGGGTTTTTGGTGTGTTGGGGGGGTGGTGTGGGGGGGGGGGTTGGTGTGTTTGTGTTTTGGTGGGGGGGGGTTGGGGGGGTGGGGGTGGGGGGGGGGGTGGGGGGGTTGTGGGGGTTGGTTTGGGGTTGTGGTGTGGGGGGGGTGTGTTGGGGGGGGTGTGGTTGTTGGGTGTTTTGTTTTGTTGTGGGGTTGTGGTTGGGGTGGTGTGGTGTGGGTTGGTGTGGGGGTGTGTTGGGTGTGTGGTTAGGGTGTTGTGGTTGTTTGTGGTTGGTTGGGGTGGGGGGGGGGGGTGGTTGGGGGTGGGTTTGTGGTGGGGTTTTGGGTGGGGGTTGGTGGGTTGGGGGGGTTGTTGGGGGGGTGTTTTTGGGTGGGGGGTTGGGGTTGGGGGGTGTGGTGTGGGGGGGGTGTGGTGTGGTGGTGGGGGGTTGGTGGGTTGGGTTGGGTTGTGGTTTGGGTGGGTGGGGGGGTTTTGGGGGGTGGGTGTGGTTGTGGGGGGGGGGGGTGGGGTGGGGGTGTGGTGGGGTTTTGGTGGTGGGTGTGTGTGGTGGGTGGGGGTGGGGGTGTTGGGTTTTGGGTGGGGGTGTGGGTGGGTGTTGTGGGTTGGGGGGTGGGTGGGGGGGTGTGATTGTGGGGGTGGGTGTGGTGGTGTTGTGGTGGGGTGGTGGGGGTGTTTGTGGTGTTGGGGGGGGGTTGTGTGTTTGTGGGGGGGGGGGGTGTTGGGGGGGGGTGGGGGTGGTGGGGGTGGGGGGGGGGGTGTGGGGGGGGTGTGTGTTGGGGTGTGGGTGTGGGGGGTGGGTGGTGGTGTTGGGTGGGGGTGTGTTGGTGGGGGTGGGTGTGGGGGGGTGTGGGGGGGTGTTGTTGGGGGGGTGGGGTGTGGTGGGTGGGTTGGGGGTGGGGGGGGTGTGGGTTTGGTGTGGGTTGTGGGTGGGGGGGTTGGTGTGGGTGTGTTGTTTTGTTGTTGGTGGGGTGTGTGGTTGGGGGGGGTGTTGGGGGGGTTGTGGGTGGGGGGGGGGGTTGGGGGGGGGGGTGGGGGGGGGTGGGGGGGTGTTTGGGGTGGGGTGGTGTGTGTGAGTGAGTGTGGGGGTGGGGTTGTGGGTTTGGGGGTTTGGGGGGGGTGTTGGGGTGTTGTGGTTTGGGGGTGTTTTTGTTTGTGGTGGGGGGGGTGGGGGGGGTGGGGGGGGGTTTGGGGGGGGGTTGGGGTGGGGGGTGGTGGTTTGGTGGGGGTGGGGGGTGTGGTTGTGGGGGGGTGTGTGTGTGGGGTGTTTTGTTGTTTGGTGGGGGGGGGGTGTGGGGGGTGTGGGGTGGGGTGTTGGGGTGGGGGGGGTGGGGGTTTTTTTTGGGGTTTTGTGGGTGGTTGGGGGGGGGTGTGGTTGTGGGGGGGGGGGGTTGTGGTGGGGTGGGGGGGGTTGGTGTGGTTGGTGTTTGGGGGTGGTTGGGGGGGGGTGTGGGTGGGGTTGGTTTTTTTGGTGGGTGGGGTTTGTGGGGGGGGTGGGGTGTTGTTTGTGGGGGTGGGGGGGTGGTTGTTGGGGGGGGGTGGGTGGTGGGGGGGGGGGGGTGTTGTGGGGGTTGTTTGTGGGGGGGGTGGGTTGTGTTTTGGGGTGGTGGGGGTTGGTGGGTGGGGGGTTTGGGGGTGTTGGGGTGTGGGGTGGTGGTATTGGGGGGGTTGTGTGGTGTGGGTTGTGGTGTGGGTTGTTGTGGTGTGTGGGGTGGGTGGTGTGTGGGTGGGGGGGGGGGGGTTGGTGGTTGGGTGGGTGGTGGGTGGGGTGGGTTGTGTTTGTGTGGGGGGGGGTGGTTGGGGTTGGTGGGTTTTGTGTTGTTTGGGGGTGGTGGTGTGGTGGTGGGGGTTGGGGGGGGGGTTGTGTTGGGGGGGGGGGTTGGGGTATGGGGGTGGGGTGTGTGTGTGGGTAGAGTGTGGGTGGGTAGGGTGGGGTGTGGGGGGGGGGTGTTTTGGGAGATTGGGTGATAGTTAGATTTGGAGTTAAGGGAGTGTGGAGGTGATTTTAGGATTAAGTGGGGGAGGGTAAGGGGTTTGAGTTTAGTGGAGATGGATGTTGTTAGAGTATAAGTAAATGGAGGAGGGGATAGGACAGGGTGAGGGGAGGGGGGTTGAGGAATTTGTGTGGTGTTGGGGGGATGTGGGGATTGGGGGGGGTAATGTGATGGGGGTTATTGTGGGTTGTGTTGTGTTGGTGGTTTGGGGGGGTGGGTGGGGGGGTGGGGGGGGTTGGGTGGTTGGTGTGTTGTGGGGGGGTGGAGGGGGTGGGGGATGGGGGGTTGGTGGGTGTGGGGTGGTGTGGGGTGGGGGTGGGTTGGGGGGTGGTGGTGGGTTTTTTGGGTGTGGTGGGGGGTTGGGTGTGTGGTGGGGGGGGGGGTGGCGGGGGTTTGTTGGGTTTGGTTGGTGGTGTGGGTGTGTGGTGGGGGGGGGGGGTGGGTTTGTTTGTGTGGGGGTTGGGGTGGGGTGGGGGGGGGGGTTTGTATTTGTGGGTGGGGGAGGGGGGGGGTGTTGGGGTTGGGGTGTGGGGGGGTGGGTTGGTTGTGGGGGGGTGGGGGGGGTTGGGGTGGGGGGGGGTGGGGGTGGGGGGGGGGGTGTGGTGTGGGTTGGGGTGGTTGGTGGGGTGTTGTGGGTTTGTGGTGGTGTTGGGGGGTGGGGTGGGGGGGTGGGGGTGTTTGGGGTGTGGGGGGGGGGTGTGTTGGGTTTGTGGTTGTTGTTGGGGGTGGGGTGTGTGGGGGGGGTGGGGGGGTGGGGGGGTGGGTTTGGGGGGGTGGGTGGGGGGGGTGGGGTGGGTGGGGGGGGGGGGGGGGGGGGTGGGGGTGGGGGGGGGGGGGGTGGGGGGGGGGGGTGTGGGGGGGTGTGGGGGGGTTGTGTTGGGGTTGGTGTGGGGGGGGTTGTGGTGGGGTTGGGGGTGTGGGGGGGGGGGGGGGGGTTGGGGGGGGGGGTGTTGGGGTGGGGGGGGGGTTGGTTTGTGTTGTGGGGTTGGGGGGGGGGGGGGTGTGTTGGGTTTGGGGGGGGGTTTTTGTTTGGGGGTGGTGTGTGGGTGTGGGGTGTGGGGGGTGTGGTGTTGGTGTGGTGTGGTTGTTTGGGGTTGGTTGGTGGTGTGGGGTGTGGGTGGGTGGTTTTTTGGGGGTTGGGTGTGGTGGGTGGGGTGGGGGGGGGGGGTGGGGTGGTTGGGGGGGGGGGGGGTGTGGTGGTGGGTGGGTGGGTGTTGTGGGTTGTGGTTGGTGGGGGGGGGGTTGGGGGGGGGGGTGGGTGGGTGGGTGGGTGGGGGGTGGGGTGGGGTTTTGGGGGGTGTGGGGGTGTGTTTTGGGGGTGGTGGGTGTGGGTTGTGGGGGGGTGGGTGTGTTGGTGGTTGGGGGGTGGGTGGTGTTTGGTTGGGGTTTTTGTGGGGGTGTGTGTTTGTTGTGGGTGGTGTGGTGGGGGGGGGTTTTTATTAGTTTGGTGTGTGTGGTAGGGGAGTATAGTTGTTTTTGGTGTGGGTGGGTGGGGGTGGGGGGGGGGATTTGTTTTATGGTGAGTGATTTAGGGGTTGGATTGGGGGGGTTGAGGAGGGGGGGTGAATGGGTTGGGGTGTTAAGGGGATGATGGATATGTAGATTGATGGTATGGTGGGGGAATAGGTTTTGTTAGTGGGGGGGGGGGGGGGGGGTGGGGGTTTTGGGATATGGGTAATGGAGATGATTTTTTGTTTGGTGTTTGTTTTGGTTTGGGGGTGTGTGGGTTGGGGTTTTTTTTGGTGGTTGGTGGGGGTTGGATTTTTGTTGGTTGGGTTTGTGGGTTTTGGTGGGGTTGGGGTGTTTTGGTGTGTTTTGGTGGGTGGTGGGGGGTGTTGGTGGGGGGGGTGGTTTGTGTTGGTTGGGGTTTTTTGGGGGTGGGTGGTGGGTGGGGGGGGGTTGTTTGGGTTGGTGTGGTGGTGTTGGGGGTGTGGGGGGGTGGTTGGGGGGTGGGGGGGTTGTGTGGGGGGGTGGGTTTGGGTGGGGGGGGGGGTGTGGGGTTTGGGTGGGGGTTGGGGGGGGGGGGGGGGGGGAGGGGGGTGGGTGGGTGTGGGGGGGGGGGGGGTGGGGGTGGGGGGGGTGGGGGTGTGGGTTTGTGGGGGGGGGGGGGTTTTGGGGGTGGGGGTGTTGTTGGGGGTTGTTGTGGTATGGTGGGGTGGGGTGTTGGGGGTGTGGTGTTGTTTGGTGGTGTGTGTGGGTGGGGTTTGGGGGGTGGGGGTGGTGGGGGGTGGGGGGGTGGTGTTGGGGGGGGGGGTTGTGGGGGTGGGGGTGTGGGGGTGTGGTGTGGTGGTGTTGGTTGGGGGGGTGGTTTGGTGGTGGGGTGGGGGTTGGGGTGTTTGGGTGTTGGGGGGGGGGTGTGTTGGGGGGGGGTGTGTTTGTGGTGGGGGGGTGGGTGGGGGGGGGTGTGGTGTGGGGTGTGGGGGGGGGTTGTGTTGGGGGTGGGGGGTGGTTGGGGGGTGTGTGGGGGGGGGGTGGGGGGTGGGGTTTTGTGGGGGTTGTGGGTGGTGTGGTGGTGGGTTGGTGGGGGGTGGGTGTGGGGGGGTGTGTTGTGTGGTTGTTTGGGTTGGTTGTGGTGGTGTGGGGGGGTTTGTGGGTGGGTGTTTGGGTGGTGTGTGTTTGTGGGGTGGGGTGGTTGGGGGGGGCTGTGGGGTTTGGGGGGGGGGGTTTGTGGTGTTGGGGGGGGGGGGGGGGGGGTGGGGGGGGGGGGGGGTGGGTGTGGGGGTGGGGTTGTTGGGTTTGGGGTGGGGGGTTGGGGGGGGGTGTGTGTTGGGGGGGGGGGTGGGGGTGGGGGTGGGGGGGGGGTTGTGGTGTGGGGGGGGGGTTGTGTGTGGTGGGGTGGGGTGGGTGGGGTGGGTGGGTGTGGGGTGTGGGGGGTTGGGGGTGTTGGGGGGGGGGGGTGTGTGGGTGGTGGGGGGGGGGGGGGGTTGGGGGGGGGGGGGGGGGTTGGGGGGGTTGTGGGGTGGGGGTTGGTGGGGGGGTGTTGGGGTGGGGTTGTTGTTGGGGGGGGGGGGGGGGGGGGTTGTGGGTGGTGGGGTGGGTGGGGGGGGGGGGGGTGGTTGTGGGGGGGTTGGGTGGGTGGGGTTGTTGGGGGGGGGGGGGGGGGTGGGGGGGTTGGGGTGTTGGGTGGGTTTGGGGGGGGGGTGTTGGGTGTTGGGTGGGGGTTTGGTGTTGGTGGGGGGGGGGTGGGGGGTTGTGGGGGGTTGGTTTGTGGGGGGGGGGGTTGTGTGGTGTGGTGGTGTGTGGGGGGGGGGGGAGGTGGGGGGGGGGGTGTGGGGTGTGGTGGGGTGGGGGGGGGGGGGGGTGGGTTGGTTGGGTGAGGGTGGGGTTTTTGGGGGGGGGTTGGTGTGTTGGGTTGGGGTGGGGTTGGTGTTGGGGTGTGGGGGGTGGGTTGTGTTTTGGGTGGTGGTTTGTGTGGTTGGTGTGTGGGGTTGGGTGTGGGGTGGGTGTGGTTGGGGGTTGGGGTGGGGGGGGTGGTGTGGTGGGTTGGGGGGGGGGTGGGTGGGTTGGTTGGTGTTGGGTGGGTGGGGGGTGGTTGGTTGGGGGGTTGGGGTTTGTGGGGGGGTTGGGGGGTGGGGTGGGGGGTGGGGTGGGGTGTGTGGGGGGTTGGGGGGTTGGGTGTGTGGGGGGGGGGGGGTGGGGGGGGGGTTGGGGGGGGGGGGTTGGGGGGGTTGTGGGGTGGGTGTTGTGGGGGGGGTGGGGGGGTGGGGGTGGGGGGTGGGTGGGTGGTGGGGGGGTGGGGTGGGGGGGTGGTGGGGGGTGGGGTGGGGGGGTTGTGTTTGTGGGGGGGGGGGGGGTGGGGGGGGGGGGGTGTGGTGTGGGGGGGGGGTGGGGGGTGTGTTGTGTTGGTGGTGGGTTGGGTGGGGGTGGGGGGGTTTGGGGGGGTGTTTGGTGTGGGGGGGGTGGGTGTGGGTGGGTGGTGGTGTGGTGTGGTGTTTGGGGGGTGGTGGTGGTTTTGTTGGGGGTTGTTGGGGGGGGTGGGGGGGGGTGGGGGGGGGTTGTTTTTTTTTTGTGTTTTTTGTGGGGGGTTGGTGGGTGATGGGGGGGGTGTGTGGGTGGGTGATGGTGGGATATTTTATGTTATGTATATGTAATTGATTGTTTAGAATGGGGATAGGGTTTTGGGGTTATTTGAGGTGTGGGTGTGGTGTGTGGGGTTGGTGGGTTGGGGTTTAGGTTGGGGGTAGGTGTTTTAAGTGTGTGTGGGGTTTGGGGTGTGGTGTGTTGGGGGGGTTGTTGGGGGGTGGTGTGTTGTGGTTGTGTGTTGGGGGGGTTTGGGTGTTGGGGGGGGTGTGTTTGGGGGGGGTTTGGTGGGGGTGTGGGGGGGGGTGGGGGGTTGGGGGGGGGGGGGTGGGGGGGTTGTGGGGGGTGGGGTGGTGTGTGTGGGGGGGGGTGGTGGGGGGGTTGTGGGGTTGGGTGGGGGGGGGGGGGTGGTTTTGGGTGGGGTTGGGGGGGTGGGGTGTGTGGTGGGGTTGGGGTGGGTGGGTGTGGGGGGTGGTTGGTGGGTGGGGGGTTGTTGGGGTTTTGTGGGGGTGGTGGGGGGGGGGTGTGTGGGTGGTGGGGGGGGTGGGGGGGTTTGGGGTGTTGTGGTGGGTGTTTGTGGTGGGGGGGGTGGTTGGGGGTGGGTGGTTGGGGGGGGTGGTGGGGGGTTGGGGGGTGGGTGGGTTTGGTGGGGGGTGGGGTTGGGGGGGGTGGGGGGGGTGGTTGGGGTGGTTGTTGTGTTGTTGGGTGTGGGGTGGGTGTGGTGGGTTGTGTGGGGGTGGTGTGGGGGGGTTTGTGTGTGTTGTGGGGTGTGGGGGGTGGTGGTGTTTGTGGTGGGGTGGTGGGGGGTGTGGGGGTGGGGGGGGGTTGGGGGTTTGTTTGTTGGGGGGGTGTGTTGGGGTGGGGGGGGGTTTGGGGGTGTTGGGTGGTGTTGTGGTTGGGGGGGTGGTTGGGTTGTGTGGGTTGGTGGTGTGTGGGTTTTTTGGTGTTGTGTTGGGGTTTGGTGGGTGGGTGGGGGTGGGTTGGGTGGGGTGTGTTGGGGGGGGTGGGTGTGGGTGGGGGTTGTTGGGGTTTTGTGTGGGGGTTGGGTGGGGGGGGTGGGGTTTTTGTGGTTGTTTGTGGTTTTGGGGGTTTGTGGGTTGGTTTTGGGGGTAGGTGTGGGGGTGGTGTTGTGTGGGGTGGTGTGGGGTGTGATGTTTGTGGTGTTGGGGGGGTGGTTTTGGGGTTTTTTGGGGGGGTGGGGGGGGTGGTGGGGGTGGTTGGGGGGGTTGGGTGGGGGGGGTGGGGGGTGTGGTGGTGGTGGGGGGGGGGGTTGGTGTGTTTGTGGGTGTGGGTTGGGTGTGGGGGGGGGGTGGTTGTGGTGTGGGTGTTTGGTTTGGTGGGGGGTTGTTGTGGTTTGTTGGGGTTGAGTAGGGGGTGGGTTGTTTGGGGGGGGGTGGGTTGGTTTGTTGTGTTTGGGGGTTGGTGTGTTGGTGTTTGTGTTGTGGGTGGTGTTGTGTTGGGGTGGGGTTGGGTTTGTATTTTGGTGGGGGTTATGTTGGGGGGGGGTTTGGGGTTGTGGTATGGGTGTTGTGGGGGGGGGGGGGGGAGAGGTGGAGATTGTTAAGGAATGAGCGCGAGCGTATGATCGATGAGAGTAGTGGGGAGGATTTGTATGAGGGTGGGTGTGAGGGGTGGTTGGGGGGGGTGGGAAGGGAAGGGGGTTGTATATGTTGATTTTGTTGTTAGGTTTATTAATGGTGGGGGGGTTGTTGTGGTTGTGTAGTGGGGTGTTGGTGGTGTTTTTTGTTAGGTAGGATGGGGTTGTGGGGGGGTGAGTGGGGGGTGTTTGATGGTTTGGGGGGGTGGGGTGTTAGTGGGGGGGGGGGTGTTGGTTTGGTTGGGGGTTTGTGGTTTTGTGGTTTGGGGGTGGTGGGGTGTGGGTGGTTGGGGGTGGTGGGGTGGGTGGTTGTTTTTTTAGTTGTTTTGGGTTGTTTTTGTGGGGTGGGGTTGGGTTGTGGGGTTGTTGTTGGGTGGTGTGGGGGGGGGGTGGGGTGTGTGTGATGTGGGGGGGGTGGTGGGGTGTAGTTGGGTTTGGGGGTTGTGGTTTGGGGGTGTGTGGTGGTGTGTGGGGTGTGGGGGGGGGGGGGGGTGGGGGGGTGGGGGGGGTTTGGTGGTTGGGGGGGTGTTGGGGGGGGGGTTGTGGTGGGGGTGGGGGGGGGGGGGTGGGGGTGGTGTGGGGGGGGGGGGGTTTGGGTGGGGGGGGTGGTGGGGGGGGGGGGTTGGTGGTGGGGGGTGTGGGGGGGTTTGGGTTGGGTGGTTGTGTGGGGGGTTGGGTGTGTGTGGGGGGTTGGTGGGGGGTGGGGGGGGGGTGGGTGGGTGGGTGTGGGGGGGGTGGGGTGGGGGGTGGGGGGGGGTGGGTGGTGGGTTGGGTGGGTGGGGGTGGTTGGTTTTTGGGGGTGGGTGTTGGTTGTGGTGGTGGGGTGGGTGTGTGTGGTGTTGGTGTTTTTTTTGTGGTTGTGGTTGTGGGGGTGTGTGTGGTGGGGGGGGGGTTTTTGGGGGGGGGTGTTTTGGGGTGGGGGGTTGTGTTGGGGTGTGTGGGGGGGGGTGGGGGGGGGGGGGGTTGGGGTGTGGTGTTTGTGTGTTGGTTGGGTGTGGTTGGGTTGTGTTGTGGGGGGTGGTGGGGTGGTGGGTTTTGGGGGGGGGGGGGGGGTTTTTTGTGGTTGGGGGTGTGTGGGGGGGGGGGGGTGGTTGGTTGTTTTGGGGTGGGGGGGGGGGGGTGGGGTTGAAGTTTGGTGGGGGGTTTGTGGGGGGGTGTGGGGGGGTGGGTGGGGGGGGTGGGGTGGGGGTGGGTGGTGGTGGGGGGTGGGTTTTTGTTGATGTTTGTTGGGTGGGGTTGGGGGGTGGTGGGGGGGGGGGTTGGGGGGTGGGTGGTGTTGTGTGGGTGGGTGGGGGTGGGGGGTGGGTGTGGGGGGGGTTGGGGTGTGTTTTTGGTGGTGGGGGGGGGGGTGTGGGTGGGTGGGTGTGGGTTTGGGGTGGTGGTGGGTGGGTGGGTGGGGTGTTTGTTGGGGGTGTGGGTGTGGGGGGGGGGGTGGTTGTGGGGTTGTGTGGGTTGTGTGTTGGTGGGTGGGGGTGGGGTGTGTGTGGGTGTGTTGTTGGTTGGGGGTTGGTTGGTTTGTGTTGGTTTTGTTGTGTGTGGTTGGGTGTGTTGGGTTTGGGGGGGGTGGTGTGGGGTTGGTGTTTGTGGTGGGGGGTTTGGGTTTGTGTTGGGGGGGGGGTGTGTGGGGGGGGTGTTGGGGGTGTTGTGGTGTTGGGTGGTGGGGGGTGGGGGTGGGTTGGGGGTTGGGTGTGTGTTGGTGGGTTTGTTGGTGGTGGTTGGTGTGTTCTGTTGGTGTGGGGTGGTTGTTTGGGGGGTGGGGGGTGTGGGGGTGGGTTTGGGGGGGGTTGGTGGGAGTGGTTGGTGTTGGGGTTGTGTTTGGGGTGTGGGGGGGGGGGGTGTGTGTTGGTGGTTGGGGGTTTTGTGGGGTGGGGGGTGGGGGGGGGGGGTTTGTGGTTTGTGGGTGGGGTGGGGGGTGGGGTGTTGGGGGGGGTTGGGGTGGGGGTTTGGTTTGGGGTTTGGGGTTGGGGTGGGGGTGTTTGGGGGGGGGGGGGTGTGGGGTTGGGGTGGTTGGGGGGGGTGGTGTGGGTTGTGGGGTGTGTTGGGTGTTTGGGGTGGGGTGTTGAGGGGGGGTGTGGTGTGGGTGTTGTTGTGGGGTGGGGGTGGGGGGGGGGTGGGGTTCCCCCTTGTGGGTATTGTTTGTATCTTGTGTTTGTCCATGCAGAGCTACCGTAGTTCAGTTTGCTGCTAACAATCTTAACAGCTATTCCACAGTGTTTGTCTGTTCAAATTTTCTTTTGGCTCTTAAAAAATATCTGTCTGTAAGTATGTGTATAAATACAGTCCTAGCTTCAGCTAGTCTCCAAATTTAGTCATTGTAGCATGTTTTAATCTTGTTATGTTAAAATATATTCAGCGATAATAGCGGAGCATCCCTATGGCGTTTCCTATACAAATTAGCATCGTGCTAACCTTCGTTTAGCGATCTTTTTGACTTTCATGGTTTAGCCACTTTATTTTACATTTACATTGTTTGTATGCCACAATAAGACTGTAATATGCCTATTTTGTTTTTCTGTATGTTACAGTTTTACAGTCACCCACACTAGTAAAGGCAGAATAGTAAAAAGACAAGATGGGAGGCCAATCAAAAGTTGATACAGAAGACAACACTGCCATCCCTAACGACAAACAAAGTACAGTCAGCAACGCTGGTGACCTGTGGGAAACAAGATCAAACTGTTTGACCGTATCACGTGCCAGTCAGCGGTCCCGAACCAGCCAGTGGTCCAATGCAAGCGCTTTAGCAGCAAGAGCACGTGCTAAAGCAGCAGCCGCACAAGCACAGGTATCATACGCTGAAGGAGAGGCTGAGGTAATTAAACAACAAGCCCACATTGAAGCTGAAGCTACAAAAAGGAAAGCAATACTCAGCGCTGACCTTCTCAAACTACGTCTACAAAGTGCAGCAGCAGCTGCCAACGCTGAAGCAGAGGTCCTAGAGGCAGCAGCGGGGGACGAAGATGGAGATACGCGGTTACCTACAGAAAGAAACGACATCTTCCAGCCCAGGCCAGATCCATCTCCGCCACCGCCAGGCAACACCCGCTTTGACTCCTCACAAACAAACACGCTTGTGCTCCCAACAGCTCAGCAAGTAAAGAACAGTGGTGAGTTTGTGCAAAGTAAAGCCAAAGAGCACAGCATACAAAGCAGAGAGAACAGTGAATATGAGTTCCAAGAGCTACCAGTAGTGCAATCACCAAGGTATAGAAACATAATTGCAGCAGATCGTTTTGTGGCCCAAAGTTGTCCGAGCAAGCAAAACGATTAAGGTCTGTACACATCTGCGATGCTTCAGCTGGCGTAAGGATGGTGTGGCAAAGACTGGAGGATGTATATGGGTCTTCTGAAGCAATAGAGAATGCTCTCCTAAAAAAGTTGGAAGATTTTCCCAAGATTTCAAACAGAGAAAATCACAAGTTGAGGGAGCTCGTGGATCTACTTACAGAGCTTGATGCTGCTCATGTAGACGGGTTCCTACCCGGGCTCAGTTACCTGAATACGTCCCGAGGCATCACTCCTATTGTCCAAAAACTTCCATTCCATCTCCAGGAGAAATGGATCACTACAGCATCCTATCACAAAGAGCAAAACCATGCGTCCTACCCGCCATTCCCTGTCTTTGTGAAATTTGTGTGTGACAAAGCTAATACTCTCAATGACCCTAGCTTTGCACCTTTGCTCTCCACCTGTGGCCCAAGCGCTTATAAGCCAGAAAGACTGAACAAGCCCAACTTCAAAACTGCAGTATCTGTCCGCAAAACTGAAGTAACTACTACCAAAGGCTTTCACGATGCTCAAGACCAAAAGGTGGTTGACCCAGATAAACAATGCCCACTCCACAACAAACCGCACTCCCTCCGCAAGTGCCGTGGTTTCAGAGCAAAGACCTTGGATGAGAGAAAAGCTATTCTGAAAGAAAATAATATTTGTTACAAGTGCTGTTCCTCCGTCAACCACATGGCAAAAGACTGTGACACAAGTGTACAGTGCTATGAGTGTAAAAGTGACCGCCATGTCACCGCGCTGCACCCTGGACCTGCCCCGTGGAAAACTCAAGCTCCAGACTCTGCGGCCCAAGATGAGCATAGCGGGGAGCAACCAGAAAGTTCCACCCAAGCCGTTGTGTCCAAATGTACAGCAATCTGCGGCAAAGGTAACAGCTCACGCTCATGCTCCAAAATCTGTCTAGTGAACATCTATCCAGCTGGACACAAAGAAAAGGCCGTGAAAGTCTATGCTGTGTTAGATGAGCAAAGTAATAGATCTTTAGCAAGGACAGAATTCTTTGAGATCTTCAACGTTAACACAAACGCTTAGGTTTACACTTTCAAAACCTGCTCAGGTGTAGACGAAACAATGGCACGCCAAGCTGACGGGTTTGTTGTAGAGTCTCTAGACAGCAATACTAGTGCCCAGCTCCCCACCTTAATCGAGTGTGACATGCTCCCAGATGATCGATCTGAGATCCCGACACCAGAGGTTGCAAAGCACCACACTCACCTCAATCACTTGGCGAACAAGATTCCAGATTTGGACCCAAATGCTTCGATACTGGTCCTCCTCGGCCGAGACATACCAAGAGTGCACAAGGTCAGAGAACACTACAACGGCCCCCATGATGCCCCATACGCCCAGCGCCTTGACCTTGGCTGGTTCATAATAGGTGAGGTCTGCCTTGGGGGTGCTCATGTGCCTAGTAAAGTCAGTGTTTACCGCACAGCAGTGTTGAACAATGGACGCAGGTCGCTCTTGGACTCTTGCCCCAACTCATTTCAAAGTCTTGGGCTCGGACGGCCCTTTCAGCTCTTTGAACATGAACAGCTTGATTTACATGGACGAAAACGACTGTCTCAGCAAGAAACTATTCATGAGAACCCCACATGATGACAAACCTGCTATGTCGGTGGAGAATGAACGTTTCCTGGAGATCATGGATGAGCAAGTGTTCATGGATGAGTCCAACAGCTGGGTGGCGCCACTACACTTCAAAACAAACAGGCGCAGACTGCCCAACAACCGAGACCAAGCTGTCAAACGTCTCAATTCATTGTGTCGCACACTGGATAAAAAACCCCACATGAAAGAACATTTCTTCAACTTCATGCAGAAAATGTTTGAGTCAGGACATGCAGAACCCGTCCCGCCACTCGACAAATACAAGGAATGTTGCTACTTACCATTTTTCGGGGTGTACCATTCTCGCAAACCAACACAGATACGTGTAGTATTTGACTCTAGTGCCATCCATGAAGACACTTCTCTGAACAACGTTTTGTTGAGCGGCCCAGACATGAACAACACTCTTATCGGGGTACTCTTGAGGTTCCGCAGAGAAAACGTGGCGATCACTGCAGACATAGAGCAGATGTTCTATTGTTTCGTCATTCGTGAGGACCACCGCGACTTTGTCCGTTTCCTGTGGTACGAAGGTAATGATCCCACAAAAGTCATCAGAGAATACAGGATGACTGTACATGTGTTTGGAAACAGCCCGTCTCCTGCCATAGCAATATACGGCCTCAGGAGGGCGGCTCTGGATGCACAGGAGGACTACAGTGATGAAGCCAAACAGTTCGTTCTTAAGAATTTTTATGTTGACGACGGACTGGCCTCCTTTCCCTCGAACGCCGTTGCCATACAGATTCTGAAAAGCGCCAAAAACATGCTGGCAGCTTCCAACATCCGCTTGCACAAGATAGCCTCCAACAGTCCAACTGTAATGGAAGCGTTCCCATCTGAAGAACGTGCAAAGGAACTGAAAAACCTCGACCTTGGCTCAGAGCCCCTGCCCTTGCAAAGAAGTTTAGGGCTTAACTGGGATTTGCAAAATGACTGTTTCACCTTCCTTGTGTCACGAGGACACGAGACAAGCTATTCACAAGAAGGGGCATCCTCTCCACCTATAACAGCTTGTATGATCCCCTCGGGTTTGCTTCCCCCATCATCATGCAAGGCAAATCTCTCATCAGAGAATTCTGCTCAGAGAACTGTGAATGGGACACTCCACTGTCAGCAGAAAACGAGTCACAGTGGAAAGCCTGGAAAAGATTCACTTGTCGACCTCGAGAAACTACAAATCCCCAGACAGTATGTAAACAGTTCACTGCAATCTTTCTGTCAAAAAGAGCTGTGTGTTTTTGCAGACGCTTCAACATCAGCTATATCTGCTGTCGCTTATCTTCGAGTCACAGACACTGATGGCCACATCTATGTAGGCTTTTGCATGGGTAAATCCAAATTAGCCCCCAGACAAATCCACAAGATGCCTCGCTTGGAGTTATGCGCTGCTGTTTTAGCGGTAGAGCTGGCGGACATGATACAAGATGAACTGGACATTGAAATTCAAAAAGTGAAATACTACACTGACAGCCGAGTTGTCCTAGGCTACATCAACAATACCAGCCGGAGATTCTACGTCTATGTCGCTAACCGGGTTGCTCGTATCAGGAAGTCATCTGAGCCCAGTCAATGGCACTTTGTGAGCACGGAAAGCAATCCCGCTGATCATGGAACACGGCATGTGCCAGCTTCAATCCTAAGCTCTACAAACTGGTTCACCGGACCTGACTTTTTAAGAAAATTTGATGGAGCGTGTCCTGTGCAAATGGACAGCTTTGAACTTGTTGAACCTGCCACAGACATTGAAGTCCGCCCACAAGTTTCAACATTTGTAACCACATCTGTAACAAAATCACTCGACTCACACAGGTTTGAGCGCTTCTCCAGTTGGAATTGTCTTACACGAGCTATCGCGTAGGTCAGATCTATCTCAAAGGTTCCTGAGACAAACAAGCCGAAAATGGACATTCTAACACAAGCAAAGTTAATTATTATACGAACTGTTCAAGGCGAGACATTTGAAAAGGAAACCAAAACATTGAACAACAGAGAGGAACTATCAAAACACAGTGTACTAAAAAATCTTAATGTGTTTTTGGACAAAGAAGGACTGGTGCGAGTAGGAGGACGTGTGTCTTCTGCAGAAATCACTCAAGAACAAAGTCAACCCATTGTTATCCCAAAAAAACATTACATTGCCACTTTACTGGTTCGATTTTACCATGAACAGGTTGCGCATCAAGGCAGACACATCACTGAAGGAGCCATCAGGTCTGCCGGACTGTGGATCCTTGGAGGAAAAAGGCTGGTGTCAAATCAGATCAATAAGT